ATGAGAAGCCCATGCACTACAACGAAGAGCAGCCCTCGCTTGCCAGAACTGGAGAAAGCCCGCGTGCAACAATGAAGACCCAACGCAGGCAAAAATTAATTAATTAATTAAAAAAAAAAAGAAGGAACCACCATTTTTCACCCTCCCACTTCCCCCACCCCCTCAAAAACTTTCATAATCCTGGAAAACATTCAGCAGGTGGTCGATTCAGGAAGAAATTCAGGACTGCCAGATTTTCCTCACCACAAAAACCTGACACTTCTCCTCCCCCCAGCCACCTTACGAACGGGGTGGGATATCAGGGCGAGAGAGCCCAGAGCTAAGCAAGGGCCATGAAGCAGGGAGGGGGACGAGGTGCAGGAGACCACAAGGATTGCTGCCCTGCACAATCGGTTGGAGGATTCCCTACCACTCTCGAAGTGAGAGGGCCAGTTCAAGACACTTGCAGGTGGCCCCCAGAGACCTGCCCCAAAGTCCCCAGGCTGGGCATGCCAGATGGGCCTCCGTCTAACTGAGCTTTGGCTCTAGAGAAAAACCACTCGGCTCATCTTTCGCTTCCCTGGCTGTGAACCCGGGGTGGGGAGGGAATGGGGTGGAGGCTGATCTGATAAATCCCATTCTAGAAGGTGGCTCGGGTGGCGGGGAGCATACATACGTGAGTATACACATGTGTGTGTTTGTATGTGTGCGAGCACACACAAATAAGGACTCTGCAGAAAGGGTTTTAAACAGGGCTTGAATCCATTTGCCAAGATCATCTTACTGGGCCCCTGCTGAAAGGGCTAGACCCTGTACTACAGGTTGCTAAGGAAGCAAAGATGGGTGGGTAGGCGCTGGTCTCCAGGAGAACTGAATCATGCAAGCACTGTCCTTATCCCAGTGTCCACTGAGCCAGGCATAAGAGTAAGTGCTAGGAGCGCATAGAGATTATATTTTGAAAGGGAGAGAGGGGGAGAGAGGGGGAGAGAGGGGCAGTGGAGCTCTTTTGCAATGAGTCCCATCCCTTCCAGGAGAAGAAAGCAGGTACAAAAGTAAAGCAGGTACTTGTTTTCTGCTACCATGTAGAATTGTGGTCTCCCCACGCCTTCTGCATTGGCAGTAACTGGAGCAGACCGCCGGGAAGGCTCTCCTTCTAGACCACACGGGGAGGGTCCCTGGGTCATGCCCAGTGGAATCCCGCAACCCGTGATCCTACCCTTGGCTTCAGGGTCCCTGCACCAGTGTCCTCTCTCAGGTCCCTGCCTCAGATCTCGCCCATCCTAGTCTGTCCTCCAGAAGGCCACTGGTGGGTCTTTTTTTTTTTTTTTTTTTTTTGCGGTACGCGGGCCTCTCACTGTTGTGGCCTCTCCCGTGGCGGAGCACGGGTTCTGGACGTGCAGGCTCAGTGGCCATGGCTCACGGGCCCAGCCTCCTGGACCAGGGCACGAACCTGTGTCCCCTGCATCGGCAGGTGGACTCTCAACCACTGCGCCACCAGGGAAGCCCCACTGGTGGGTTTTTAAACAAAGGTCTGACAACTTCATTCTTTAGGTTTTTCTAGGACTATGAAATAAAGTCCTAAAGGATAAAATTCCAGACTGTTCATCTTTTCTGCCTCCCCAGCCTCATCTCTCTTTGTCACCTCCACATGGCCCCCCATGTCACCCTTTCTGTCGTGTCAGGCTTTCGCCCAGGCTGTTTCCTCTGCTGGGACATTCTCCTCCCCTGCCTCCCATCCGTCACGCTCCCAACACCTACTCAGCCCCAAAGCTCAGGTTGTATCACCTCCTCTCAAAGGCCGTCTCTGAGCCCCTTTTCCTCTGGGGCTCTAGGACTTGTCTCTACACTGACCACGCTGTCCCAGAACTATCAGCCTTCCTGTCTGTCTCTCTCTCTAGACTGGGAGTCCCCCGAGGCCAGGGACTGCACTTCACCATCTCTGCAAGCCCACGGCCAGCACCTGGTAGGAGCTGACTGAAGATATTCTTGAGTTAGTGGACGGCCCTCACCACTTCCTCACCTTGCCCAGAAGATTCCTGGGTGGGGTCTACATTGCTGGCAGGCATCCACTTTGGCAGTGATCTCGATGTGGGCGTTCACAGCATGCTTCCAGTTGGACACACACCTGATGCCTCTTCTAGGCAGTCCTGAAGACGCCAGAGAGGATGCCTCTACCTCTCTCACATACTGTTTCAGGATTCAAGCACCTCCTAAGTTCAAATGATATTAACATATTTTTTGAGAGTGTACTGTATGAGATATACTTGACATTCATTAGCTCATTTAATCCTTAAAAACACCCAGAAACATTCCATTTTTCAGATGAGGAAACTGAGGCATAGATTAAGAAGCTTCTTTTTATTTTGTTTCCTGTGGAATGGAAGAATAGAATCATGTTCTTATAACTCTTTCTCACTAGCTACCTTCAAATACAGGTGGTTCTTAATTAAAAAAAAGAAAAAGTTTGCCAACATAGCCAACACTCGGAATATCTAGTGACAGTGAGAGGCAGTGGATTTTTGTTTCACAAAAAGTCAGAGACACTGACTACTATCTCTCCCCGTGCCCCACCCCCACAGGACCCAGGCAAATCACTCAATTAAAATTAATACAATTTAGTATCTATTGAGTGCTGTGTATGTGTCAGGTACTATTCTGGGCACTTGGTAAATAAAAAAGACAGAGACCTGCTCTCAAAGGAAAGGCAATGAACAATGCACATACTAAATAACAAGGCATATACTATATTAGAAGTTGGTAGCCAGCCTCCAAGATGGCCCCCAATCATCCTCACCTCCTGTTACTCATGCATGCTCTTGTGTAGTGTCCCCGACACTGCCCAGGGCTGCCCAACAGGATATTGCAGAAAGGATGGTGTACGACTTCTAAACGAAGTCAGAAAAGACAGTGCCGTTTTTCCTGGCTCTCTCTTGGAACTCTCACTTTGGGGGAAGCCAGCTGCCATGTCTTGAGGACACTCAAGCAGCCCAACGAAGAGGTGCCCAAGGTAAGGAACTGAGGTTCTTGCGAAGCCAGCACCAACCTGCCAACTACATGAGCAAACCATCTTGAAAGCAGATCCTCCAGCTCCAGTCAACCCTTCGAACGACTGCAGCCTGTTGACACCTTGACTGCGAACTTGTCTTAGCTCGGATGCTTTAACAAAATACCACTGCTGGTTCCCAACCTCGAGTCTCCCAATTGAAATTCCAAACTGGCCCCCATACATGTGGGGCAAGGAGGAACTGAAGAGGCAGACCACTCCAGATTGATAGGTGGCAGTTTTTTTGTGTTTTGTTTTTAATTAATTAATTAATTTATTTATTTATGGCTGTGTGGGGTCTTCTCATTGCGGTGGCCTTTCTTATGGAGCATGGCCTCGAGGCACACAGACTTCAGTAGCTGTGGCTCAAAGACTTTAGAGCGCAGGCTAAGTAGTTGTGGCACACGGGCTTAGTTGCTCCGCGGCATGTGGGATTTTCCCAGACCAGGGCTCGAACCCGTGTCCCCTGCATTGGCAGGCAGATTCTTTTTTTTTTTTTTTTTTTTTGCCGTACGCGGGCCACTCACTGTTGTGGTCTCTCCCATTGTGGAGCACAGGCTCTGGACGCGCAGGCTCAGCGACCATGGCTCACAGGCCCAGCCCCTCCGCGGCATGTGAGATCTTCCCGGACCGGGGCTCGAACCCGCGTCCCCTGCATCGACAGGCGGACTCTCAACCACTGCGCCACCAGGGAAGCCCAATCAGGCGGATTCTTAACCACTGCGCCACCAGGAAAGCCCAGGTGGCAGTTTTAATAAGCAAGGAAACTCACACACAAGGCTAGACTTGGGCGGTGGCAAGATGATTAGATCTCCCCACCTGCTCACCAGAATCTTAAAGTTTATGCAGCAGCTTTAACTGGGTTCAGTCACTCATATCGTCCAGATGGTCTCAACAACACATTGTTCTCTCAAGGCTGTGCCCTTGAAGTGGCTCCTAGTACAAGAACAGTGGTTCTTGTATACATTCCAAGGATGGCGGAAGAGGGGAAGGGGCCTCTGATGGCCCAGATCCAGCTTGTGGGTCAACCGACATTCATGCCCTCTCAAAGGCTCTCCTAACAACCACAGATTGAGTGGCTTATAAACAACAGATATTTATCTCTCACTGGTCTGGAGGCTGGAAGTCCTAGATTGGGGTACCAGCACAGTCTGGTTCTAGAGAGCGCCCTCTTCCACAGTTGCAACTTCTTACCACATCCTCACGTGGTGGAAGAGTCGAGAGAGCTCTCTGGGGTCTCTTTGATAGGACTCCCATTCACAAGGGCTCCACCCTTGTGGCCAAATCACCTCCTAAAGGCCACTCAGATAAGGACTCTCAGCCCTTACCCAGTTTCTGGGAGTCTAGGACAACTCCAAAGTTCCAATTTACAACAACTTGATTTGCACAAAGTTTTCCAGAAAATGTCTTATACAGACCCCAAAAGCTACAACCTTCCTAAAACATGATGTCAGAGCCCCGGGCAGTAAAACTCTGCCTAGGGGTCTCTTCTCTATCTGATTACTTGCTCCTGTGGCTGCTCCATGACCTTGCTTTTTGTTTCTCAGCACCTACTGTGTGTCAGGCTTAGGCTGAGCTCTGAGGACACTGAAAGAAAAGACCAGGCCCAGCACTAATCGTGAACTCAATAAATGTTTGTTGAAGGAATGTGAGCTGGCCTGGAATGGGTTCAAAATTGGCTTAGAAACTTAGAAAAGCCAAACATTCGCCTTCTCTCCGCTAACCATGCTGGGCTACCAAGTTTCCTTTTATGCAGCTGTTACAAGTTTGGAGCAGGGAAGACTGGAGGCGAGCTCTGCCCAGAGCCCCATGTGTGCCTCAAGTCCAAAGCCCATGAACTTGTCACTCTTCAACTAACCCTACCACCCCTGCTCGCTCCAACCCAAAGTCCACATGGGGAGATGGGGGCCGACATGCTCAACCCTGTTGCCCTTGCACTTCTCCCCACTCAAGCCCTGGCCAGAGAGCAGGTTCCTACCTTTCTCATCAAACTTGGCCATATCCTTCCAGGGTGGGATGCCAAAGAGCCTTGCCAAGGTGGAAGAGGTATCTTCTTCAACTATGGAAGAAATGAAGATCTAAATCTTCCAAGTTTTCTTCTTGATATGCTAAAAATAATAAAAAATAAGTAAATGTACTACCCTCCTCCATTTTCCTCTCCCTACACTCCTCTTCTAAAACCTGGCTTTTAATCTTACTACGTTGTCCCTAAATCCTACATTGCATGTCAGAAGCTGATTAGCTTATTAGCTTTGCATTTCTGCTATAATGTTCCTGATACCGCCCCCTCCCACCATACAAAGTTATTCCAATACTATTGACTATATTCCCTATGCTGTATGTTACATCCCCATGACTTATTTATTTTATAACTGAAAGTTTGTACCTCTTAATCCCCTTCACGTATGTTGCCCACACACGACCCCCTCCCCTCAGGCGACCACCAGTTTATTCTCTGTATCTATGAGTTTGTTTCTGTTTTGTTTAGTTTGTTCATATGTCTTGTTTTTTGCAGTTCACATTTAAGTGAAATCATATGGTGTTTGTCTTTCTCGGTCTGACTTATTTCACTAGACCTTCTAGGTCTTCCCATGTTATTGCAAATGGCAAGATTTCATTATTTTTATGGCTAAGTAGTATTCCATTGTACGTATATACCACATCTTCTTTGTCCATTCATCTGTCAGTGGACGCGTGGGTTGCTTCCATGTCTTGGCTACTGTAAGTGATGCCGCAGTGAACATTGGGGTGCATGTATCTTTTTGAATTAGTGTTTCGTTTTCTTCAGGTAAATACACAGAAGTGAAATTGCTGAATCATACGGTAGTTCTATTTTTGATTTTTTGAGGACTCTCCATACTGTTTTCCAGGGTGACTGCACCAATTTACATTCCCACCAATAGTGCGCAAGGGTTCCCTTTCCTCCACACCCTCACCAATGCCTAAAATTTGTTGTCTTTTTGATGATGGCCATTCTGGCAGGTGTGGGGTGATATCTCATTGTAGTTTTGATGATTAGTGATGATTAGTGATGCTGAGCATATTTTCATGCTCCTGTTGTCCATCTCTATATCTTCCTTAGGAAAATATCTATTCAAGTCCTCTGCCCATTTTTTATTTTTATTTTTTTATTGTGGCATGGTTGGTTTGCAATGTTGTGTTGGTTTCTGGTGTACAGCAAAGTGACTCAGATAGATAGATAGATAGATAGATAGATGATAGATAAAGATATTCTTTTTCATATTCTTTTCCATTATAGTTTATTACATCGGTCCATTTGTTATCAGATTTTTTTTTGCCATTGACTTGTATGAGTTCTTTATATATTGTGGATATTAAGCCCTTATTGGATATATCATTTGCAAATATCTTCTCCCATTCAGTAGGTTGCCTTTTCGTTTTGTTGGTGGCTTCCTTCACTGTGCAAAAGCTTTTTAGTTTGACGTAGTCCCATTTGCTTATTTTCCTTTTGTTTCCCTTGCCTGAGGAGACAGGTCCAAAAAAAATATTGCTAAGACCAGTGTCAGAGAGCATACTGCTTACATTTTCTTCCAGGAATTTTATGGTTTCAGGTATTAAGTTTCATAATTTTTTGAGCCTCAGTTTCATTATCTGGAGAAAAAGAAATTACAATGGTTCTAAATCACAGAGTAATTGGAATGATTAAAATTTTCTGTATATACAAAGACTTCTAAGCAAATAGTCATAGCAGCATTATTCATAATAATCCAGAACTGGAAACAATCCAAATGACCTTCAGTTGGGGGAAAGGACAAACAAAGTGTTTCATATCCTCACAGTAGAATATTATTTGGCAATAAAAATGAATAAACTACTGATACATGGTACAACGTTGATGAACCATAGAAACATGCTAAGTGAAAGAAGCCAGATTCAACAGACCACATATTATATGAATCCATTGATATGTAATGTCCAGGAAAAGGGAAAGCCATAGACACAGAGAGTAAGGCAGTCTAGGGCTGCAAGCGGGAGTGAGATTGACTAAAAATGGGCATAAGAAAACATCTTGGGATAATGGAAATGTTCTAAAACTGGTTTGCGATGATGGCTGGACAACTTTATAAATTTACTGAAATCACTGAATTGTACATTTGTGATGAGTAAACATTATGATATGTAATTATACCTGAATAAAGTTATTTTTAAAGTGAAAAAAAAAAAAGAGGCTTAGAGAACTTTCACCTCAATCTTCAACTATCCCTTGACCATATGAAAAAGGAAGAAAATCCCACTGCCAGGACCCCCCCCCGAGCTCTGCAGGGAGATCTCCCTGGCATCTCAAGTCAGCCAAGGAAAATGGCCACTGCCTCCCTGGACCTCCATCCTCAAGTCTGAAGCAGGCCCCCTGGGTGTCTGTGTGGGACAGAAGGGCTACTTCAGCCCTGCCTCCCCGAGGGGTGAGGACAGGGTGGCCCAACCTACTGGCCACGTCAAGCACAGCGGGCTGGGGGTGAATGACTTGAGCCTGGGAGGCTACACACAAAGGGATTCTTCATGATTCACAGCAACCGGGTAAATATTTAGAAAGAGAAGCTCTTTCCTTAGAGGGCCAGCATTTGTCTTCCTATTCTGACTGAAAGGATTTGGTCAGATAGGAATCTGTTACAATGGGAAGGGGAACAGGGAGCCGCAGGAGCCAGACCAACACTGCGGCCTAAATAATGGAGGTGACCCAGTGGCGTGGGGAGAGCTGCTGATCCAACAACAGGGTGAGGAGCCTCTGCCGGGATTCTCCAGGACACCCCCAGGGGGGCTTTGTACATGCCCTGCCTTCAGCTGTCCCATAGGGCTGGGAATGGTGCCCAGGACAATCTCCATGCATCTTTCTCTAGAAGCAAATATTCTCAAGGCTCCAGAGGACAGAGAGGGTCTGCGCCCACTCCTTAGGCATATCCCAAGCCCCTCTTCCAGCACACATAAAGTCTGTTTCCCAAAAGAGGCTCCAGGGTCCTCCCCTGGCAGCTGGCCAACAATTCTGGGTGGTTAAATTCCTCCCATTCCTAACTCTTCACCTCAAGATGTTCATGACCTGGTTCTCAGAGGGAAAACCTTTTAAGCCCCCTCATGATTAGAGGCCCTTAGGGTCTCTTCAGGGATGTAAAGATTTGTTTCAGAAATAAAGGATTAAGTTCCACCTGTCCGAGTTGATTGGGAAGACCAGGCTCTCCCTGTGCCTGCCTTGGCCTCTGCCTTGGTGGATACCAAGTCTAATGGTGACTGCTAGCAGTCCCCGCTCCAACTCAAAAAACGGAAACAATCCATATCTTGAAGCCTGAATCAGCCAAACCTAGTCATGTCTTGAAACAGACGTTCTTTTATCATAGCCTGACCCTGACTTACTGGTAAGAAATAGGGTGCTGGTGAGGCCTTCCCTGCCCCACAGATCTCCCAGCAGAGCTCCTGGCTACGGAGAATGAGGTCCAAGTCTTGGGTGGCCCATGGAAGACAGAGGTAAGCACTCAGTATAAACACCCTCGGCAGTCTTGGGCTGTCTCATGCAACGCTGTATGATCCCTGCTTTTCTGCTACTGGTGGCTCTCCATGCAAGCTGTGGTTTCTGATCTGATAAAGGTCCAGAACATCCATACTCTGCTTCTATGGGGCAGCATAAAAAGTGAGGAAACCAACATGATAGCAGGTGCAGACCACTCTCACCCCACCTGCCATTAGACAGTCATTCCAGTTCAGGGGCTAGGACACTTCTATCGCTACTTCCTGGCACTCTGGAATAACCCATTGGCCCTCCAGCTCAGAGAGTCACTGCCCAGTCTGCCAAAGGACATTTGTCTCATGTTGGGCCACCCTATATCCATTAGCCCATCAAAACAACACTTCAGTTTATTTTAGGGTTATTGTCACTAACCAGCTTGATACAGTGTGGGTGAAATGACAAATCCAGATGTATCTGGACGATACAGAGTCATCTACAGAGCCAGGCCAACATGTGCATAAGACCAGCCAGTGATCCCTCTGTAGACTCTGAGTCCTTAGCCAGTGGCGTAGATAGAGCATGCACTGCCCAGACCGTCCCTGAGTGTCCTATCTCTTGTCCGCTCCAAATCCCAGACCACTGCTGCAAGGGGTGGGTATTGGCTATAACAGATGTGCTCTCCGTCCCCAACATTAGTAGCACAAGGTGCACCCAGTAATCCCCCTCTGAAGAGGGCTGGACAGTGAAAATGGGGAGATGAGTGGCGGATGAAGCGAGGGAATTGGGATGAAAACTTTAGAGAGACAAATCACATCGGCTGGGCAGCCACTGGGGCAAGGGAATTGAAGTCACCAACATGTGCTGGCATTCATGTAAATAAGCCAGGACACATAGGCACCAAGTGGTGGCTTGATGTGAAAAAGACCAAAACCCACATGGCTTCTTTCATGGTCCTAGAAGCCTTTTAAACAACAGTCACAGCACCTTAGGTCAGCCAGCCTCTCCAAGGGTCAATACTCAGGCCCATCAACAAGTTTCCTAAACACCTATTCCATGCTGCTCACTGGCTTAGGTGCCTCACCACTGACCCCACCCCTGCCCCCAGGAACCGAGTTTTATCAGTCCCATGATCATACCATGAACGTACACATAGATGCAAACTGCAATGGCAGCAAAGAGCAAGGGAGGTGACCTGGTTGGCGTAGTGTGTATGGCCAGGAAAGATAGGAAAACATTTCAATCTTAGTTTCCCCTGACTTTTGCAGCCTCCTGAAGTGGCTCCACTTGGAAGTACTTGTGGCCTCACAGCCCCCTCTAGCCAAAGCTCCCTCCATTCTTGGCCCCAGGCATTCTTGGGAGCAGAGGGCACTTCCGAGGGCCTTCCCTGGGTTCCCAAGGCTGACTTCCTGACAGGTTAGGAAATGGACTCATTAGGATTTCATCCAGTTTTTCACCGCCCCCTCTCCCCACCCCCTGCTCCCATCTGTGTCACTAAATCAACACTGCCCTCTCTCTGGCCTAGTTAAGTGGTCCCTAATGAGGGGGAGCTCTGGCCTGCCTGCGTTCTGGCAGCCCACGGAACCCTGAAGCACCTGGCCGCCTGCACTGCTCACCTGCAGCCTTCTCAGATCAGGGTGAGCGGTGGGCACAGGG